ATAGTGAACTTTCCTTCTTGCTGCAGTCTTTGTGTGTAACTCCTTCGTTCCTTTACCACCACCATCATAATCATCAGCCTTATGTTTTCAGACCAAGCAGTGTCTGTCAGTCTTGTGCCACTTTAGTTTTCTGGCCACGTGCCTTGCTGCTGCTTCTTGTTTTTTTGTTTTTTTAATCTATTTGAGAGCTGAAGTACCACAATGAGATTGTCCAGCTTTAGAAACGATGGGATGCTTCATTTAATAGGTGATTCCCCCACCCCCACCCCCACCTTCCCTTAAGAAATAGCACAACATAATATTGCATGAAGTAGGAGGAAGGAAAATCACCCCAACTGTCGCTGAGGGCGTCCTGCTCTACCTGTTTTAAAACTGGAGGGATCGCCCATCCCTGGTCTAAGGCGGTATCTTAAAATCTGATTTGGCTGTGGTTCTGGATCTTGATGGTTTGTCAACAAACAGCATTGTGTCTGATTGTGTCTCATCCCTGTGTCTGAGCTGGATCAGTGTCCGCTCCTGTTTCAGTGCGATCCGAGTCTCTTTGTTCAAATCAAAGCTACCAGAGGTCACTCAGTTATAGCAAAATATATGCCAATAATAACTCGTTATTTTAGATCAACTTGTATCCAGGACTAATGCTATTTCCAACTGAGCACATCCAATCATTAAAGTTTGATTTCAGTTTCTAAAAGTCAACTTCAAATACAGGTTAACTTATACAATAACTGCATCTTTTTCCAAACTGATTAGGTTAGTGTGATTTTTGTTTACATTTTGCTTGAGGACACATACCAGTAGCCCACAGCAAGAAATCTCGACCGTTCTGGGTCACTGGGAGAACATATGGCTTAACAATCTAATCCAGAAATTACTGACCTTAATATTGTGATGAATATGTACAGCACCAAGTATAGCATTGCATACATTTGGATTTGTAACAATATGGGGCGTTTTTCTCCTTAGACGGACCGAGTCACTGGAGGAAAAAGTACTGAAAGAGGGGGAAAACAAAAAAAGGGACAAACTCACAACATCATTTTCACTCAGAAACTTTGATGTGCATCATTGACCATAATTCGCCCAGGCTCAAACAATTTTCTTTTCCATGACTTCAACAGCTCAGTGGGGGTCGGGAATCCAACCTGTTAACTTTCTTCCTGAGATATATGTGTGTGTACAGACACATACACAGCATAGTGACATCTAAGCTGTTATTTGTGGCGGTATCAAAGGAAATGTGTCTGCATGGTGTTTAATGGTTCAGTCTGTTGCCTACATGCTTGTTGGCAGGCAACAGGATCTCCTGCCTTCAGCCTATAAGCCAGCTATATTGTGAGCTTGTAAAAAAAAACAGGACGGGGAAAAAATCCCTCTTATCGATTCTGCTTCCAACATAGCAACTGACTGCTGATTGGCTAACCTGCGGCTGGTCTCGGACTGCCATTGGCTGATCGCGTAGCGTGAAACCGTGGAATCGGACGGAGACAGAGGAGAGGAGCGACGCGATTGGCTGCTGCAAACTGAAAGCGAAAACCTTTTTTTTCTGAAAGCCTGCAAGACAGTTGATGGTGTGTGTGTTTTAGGCGTGACTCCAAAGGTAATTCGTTCTGCTACCCCCCCTCTACTCCAGTCGGGACTTATTTAAATTGAGAACTAGTAAGCGAGTTGTAGCACTGAGGTGTGCTGACAAGAAAAAAAAGTGGAGGGAGAGGGCCTCTGAGTAAAAATATGTAGGGGGGGCTGGGTTTTTACATACGTTCAACTCTTATAGCTGGAAGCCAGGCGAAAGTAGATGTTAGCAGTGATAGCCAAACTGCTATAAAAGCTTATAGTTTGGGGGTCATAGCCATGTGGCAGTGTATTTTATGTGCAAAGAAAATGTAGAAAAGGCCCAGCTTGACCTTTCAAGCCTTCATTTTAATAACCAGCAGTGAGAGAAATAGGCCCTGCACTTTCTCCCCTCTCCTTCCTGCCCCACATATTTTTCTTCCCACCCTCTCCCTGTCTTTGGGACACTCAAGCAGCCGCCTGAGGGTGACTCATTGGTACACTCTGTCCTATCCAGAGCCCTCGAATAGTAAGACTACGGAAGTGCTTAGCGGCCACTTGGAATATATGTGAATATAGAGAGGCAGCGCTACAAACAAAGACCAGAGCACTGCAAAGCCTAATGTTCGGGTTATGACAAAAGTAAGAAGCGGGGAAAGATGTAAAAGCCCAGTCTTCAGGCTAAATCTTTATTTAGGTAAATGCATCATCAGATGAGGTGTAGTTTTTATTACCCAGCTCAAGTTATTGGAGATAATTAGCTGCTGATGTTAAAGTGTGTCAAGTGTCACTTGAATTTGTGCAATCAATATATACTGATTCCACAATACAGGATTAATATAACATAGATAATACAATCAAATGCATTTATTTAGGCATTTAGAATAGTTTCTCATTTATGTTATGCAATTGTTATTTTATAACATTAGGTAATTCCCACCGTGAATACATTTGTTGAAAGCGCCTTGAGGTGACTGCCGTTATGATTTGGCACTATATAAACAAAAATAAATAGAATTGTTATATTTAGGTAATATTTCACTTGACCGACCCTGCAAAAGTCAAGTTTTGGAGCTTGATTTCATAATGCTGGATGAAATAACATTAAGATAAAGTCATTTGCAATTACTCAACAATTGTTCTTGGTTGCTAATATGAGTTTTTGTGATTTAATCTAACATCAGTTAACCTATCCAAAATCTACCAATTTGTTGGTGAATAATCCACAAATATGTTCTTGTTTTTTAAACAACTTAAATTTTGAAAATGCAATTCAAACTTCTGTGCTGCTATATCTCTATGCCACAGGTATGTTGCTAAATTTCAGGAATGGTAGCAAGGCTCCATGATATGCAATTGGTGAAAAAAAAATCAATTGGAGTGAATGAGACATGATGTGACTCTTACCATTCGAGGGCTGTGGTGCCATCTATCTAGCTACACTGCGTCTGGTGAGTCCTAGCCAGGTTTGCATACTGCGTGTCCACCCACTCTCCATGCTGACACGGGTAAGAGGTAGTAATCCGTGGCCTGGAACTCTCCCCCAGTACATCCCTGCCCTCTGCACCTCATTAATCCTTACCTAACACAGACCTTCTGTGATGGTTGAAAGAGGCCACCTGTTGCTGTGGTCACACAGGTGGCCAGTGGTGGTGTCATCCAGGGTCAACGTTATCATCATACACCCCAGTGGCAATACATATGTTTTTCTGAGGATTTTGCACTGGTGAAATTAGCAAATTCAGTGTAATTGTCAAGACAGGGGTGATGCCGACTGTGTGATAAACCTAGAAGGAAAAAAACCCAAGCTGCTCTCAAGTAACAAATGTTAATTTCCTTTTTTTCCCTTTACAGAAGGATCAAAAATTTGAAAATGCATGTGAGAGCCATGCAAAGCATGTTCCTAAAAATCTTTTTGGAGTGACTCAACGGCAGTCAGGCTGAGTACGGAAGAGCCTGCGCACATCCTGCTATTGTCTTTATCGCTTCCTTTCTCTCCCATCTGTCTGCAGCGTGTCCTCCAGTGCCCTCGCTGTCTCCCACCTTGGCAAACTCAAAGATAAGCTCATTGGACTACCATGGCTTCAGTAAAGACTGTAAACCCAACGTAAGTTAGTGTTAAGCATAGTTTTGGTCACTGGAACTTTAACAGCACTTAGAAAAATAACAAAGCTGCCTTTAACCTTTTTATGATTAATGTGAATAATAATAATTTTTAAAAAGTGTTTCTTGAACAGTGTTAGCAACAGAGTTGAATTAGTTGACAAAACCATCATCAGTTTATTGTCTTTCAGCAAGAAAAAGGTCAGGATCTCACATTGCTTAGCGTCACCTGAGGAATTTCCTCAGTCCCCCAGTGAAGTTTGATTATTTTAAGAGGCTTAAACAACCTACTTCCATAAAGCAACCTTTAGAAATACACTTTTGTGTCTCTGTACAGAGCGTCTATTGTCCTCAAACTCGAAAAATGTGCCAAGTTCAACATGGATTCCTTTCCTCTTAAGCTATGTAGGCTGCATGTCATGGAAAAAAAAACATTCATAGCTCAAGCAATGCCACAGTTCAAGTAATGGAGGCAGGATACTTCCGGACCTCTGGCAGTTCACACAAACATTGGAGGCCACTAAAGAGTGCATTTTTGTGGCAAATGTCAACCTCTTGCAACAACAATACCTTCACCACCATCACCACCACCGTCATCATACATTGCAACAATAGAAATACTGTTGGATTGCACTTTCATCTTGTGGCATGTTTATAGAAAAAATATATATAGAATACAAAAAGCTTATACTTCTTTGAGTAACAGAATATAACATACAGTACTTCAGATTACGTTTTGATCAGCAGGTGTACATAAACTGCCCTACCCTTGCCCAAATGCAATTACTGGACTAAACAGGGATGTAGTTCTGCTCAATATTTAGTGTTTTGGTCAATGGGTATATGCTCTTACTATGGTATTCTACAGGATGTTAATGCTACATAATTATCCACTGTATATGAATGTCAGTTTATTTAAAAAAAAGAAAAAAAGGGGGGTGGAAATAACCAAGATGCACCGCAATGTTTCACAAATTCATGTGGCATTTTACCCAAAAAAAAATTACATGGCCCTCCAAACCACCTGGATGAAACTACATGTTTACACCATTCCCCCACCCCACCCCCACAAAAGCACTTTGTAGTAATAATCCAATTTTAAGAACTGAACAGTTTAACTCAAAACATCTCTAGCAATGTGAATTCTTGGCTTAAAGAAAAAGTGCAGCACCTGACGTCAGTGAGTAAATCTCAGGTGGTCAGCACCCCTACCCAAAAGGTGTGTGTTAAACAAATGGCAATAAATGAAGTACCAAAAAAAAAAAAAAAAAAAAAAAAAAA